CCACCTAAGTGGTACTCAGGATATCACTCAAGAAATCACTCAAGATATCCCTCAAGTAATTAAGGAACAAAAGAAGAAAAGGCACACTAGCCTGGGAACTTCCTCTCTGCCCAGAACATTGGAGGCTATACACCACACCCCCTCAACAGTATTTATAGGAACTCAAACACTGAGATCCTGCTCTGTTCCAGTAACAAGAAGCCGAAAGCACCAGCCTGAAGATGACGAGTGAGACCTCGTCGAAACGTCGCCTAGACACCCCAACTTTTACACGGGAAGACACCCGAGGACACCAAAACCTGCATATATATATATATACACACACACACACACACACAAGAATAATAGTAAAATGGTACATGAGCCCGTTGTATAAACCTCAATAGCATATTGATAAAGAGATTCCATTGCAAGTCATCTGGGCAGTTTAACCAATATAATTTATCTGCAGCAATTGTGGGGGACAGGAAACAAGAAGCCAAGTAAGTAGAGGTGTCAATATGTTGTCACTGTTACTAATTGAGGGGGGAACTAGTTTTTATACCAGGTGTGGGGAACTTGTGGTCCTCCAGATGTTGCTGGATGACAGCTTCCATCACCCTTGACCCTTGGCTGATGGGAGCTGGAAGTCCAGCAACACCTGGAAGGCCATAGGTTCCCCATGTGTTCCATACCATCAAATGTATCTTCCTACCAAATAACTTTCCAGAGGTCCACAGCTACCTCAGCTTTTAACCTCTTGATTTCTGTCCTTGGAACTGTTTTGCTTGGGCTGAAGCTTCCAGATTTCAGAAGGGTTTGAGTGACTTTTTTATCTGGACAGCTATATGATGCTCTTCTGCTCCCAAAGCAGCCTCTCAAATGGCCTCTGAAAGCAGCATGCAGTAGATGCTAAAAATATCGTATATTAACGAGTGCACATCTGCATCCAGAAATGTTGCAGGTTTTTTGTTTTACTGATCCTGCTGCTCAGCTTTAACAGCTGCCTGAAACAGAGAGTGAAGCAGGTAATGCTCTCCTGGTCACAATAGGAAATCCTTTCCTTGCTTCCTTTCTGGATGTCAAGCTGCTGTGCCAAAACCACAGAAAAGGGGCCACTTTATAAGTTTGCAATCCTAAATACTGCACACTCCATCCCATTCATTATACCTTAGCATCTTTAGTTTCCCCCTATTTATGTATTTTGAAGGTTATCACCATTGAATTAATTCATCTCCATGACCCTTGCCTTTGCAAGTGGGTGAGGGGCTTTGAGCTTTTGCTGATTGCATATTTAATTCATATGCTGAATTACCCATGCAAGTCTTATTTTTATACATAATCATTGTACAGTAAATGTGGCGGGGACGACTGTGAGCTGCTCAACCATTATTTGAGAGATGCTATTTTGGTTATTGGCCTTTAGATAAACTGCATCAGCACAAAATGGGCCACTGTAATTTCATGTCTGAGATGCTCTGATTTGGATGTATTGAACTATTTATATTTGCTGCATCCCTACTGTGTTATTTCATTAATCACATAACAAGCCTTCCATTTCTCTACAGAACACACTAACTCTAATTATCTCTCTACTGCACAGATGTTTCCTCATTTAGATGTTTGCTGCATAGCCATTTGTCACTCTGGTTTCCACATATATTTCAGTTTGCATTATATCAATCTAATGCCTTTTCTGCATCTGAGTCCTCAGGGGTTAATATGTCCCCTCTGGGTAGCAAGTAGACATATGTGGCCCAGATAGGTGCCTCTATAAAATGGATGGCTTTGTCCATATGGGGACTGTTTGGAAAAGATCTATTGCCTTTGGTTGCAATTCTGCACAGATGTGTGCTGATTGTATCTCAGTGACTCAAATGGGATCTAAGCTACCGAAATGGATGCAGGATCTCAAGCTTTGGCAAGAGTGATTACCCTGAAAAGGGCAGCATGAAGTAAACGTTGCTTGCTTTACAAAGATCAAAACATGCTATTAATTAGAATAATGCTTGCTCTAGTTAATGGTATATATATGCAATGCCCTGCCCCTGTAACAATAAAAACAAGGATTTAAAGGGATGATCCAGCATTTTGATCCAGCAATAGGAATGATAAAATGTTGAACTAACCAATTGTGTTTAACTTGTGTGGTTTTACTTTTTAAGATTATATATTTCCATTTTGCAATTAAAGGATCCCCTTTGTCCTCTTCCAAAATGCAGATTAACATATTACAATATGACGAGTGCCTATATGCAGTCCAAGCCTAAGCATGTCTACTCAAAAGCAAGTGCCACTTACGTTCCACAGTGCTGTCTCTCAAGCAAGCAAGCATGCATAAGATTGAATCCTAAGCATGCTTACTAGGGCGTTAGCACCGCTGAACACAATTAAAGATTTACTTTTTTAATATTGACCTGTCAGGTTGTGATTCTAAGCACATCATAAGAAATGTAGCCATCACTGAACTCAGTAGGACTCCTTTTCAGGGAGCATTCTTAGTATCACATTGCATATTGGTTAAGTTTTAACCTCAGGTGGCAAAATGGGATGGGCTGCCCCTGTGTTGAATACCCAACACTTGGACTTTGGTTGTGCTCTAACTAGGCAGTCACCTTCTGTTGATAGGACCTTGATTGCCTTTGTTCCTTATGAAGAGAGACCCAGACATAGAGCAGGATTAGGCAGTCAGAGTTTATCGAATGTTTGGTCTTCCTTGGCACCTTTCATCCAGCAGGTACAGGGTTGTGTGTCCAAGACACATGCTTTTTGTATGTTGCTCAAAGGCAAAGTCTATCATTGCAAAAACCCTGCAGCCAAAATAGTGTGTCTGCCTTTCCAAAACATATCATACCAAGTTCCAAAGCACTTTCCATTTCTCGTTATCCCTTACTTTGTCAAAAAAATAAACATGAGTTCTGCAGAATCACATGCCAGGAGCAAAAGCAGAGCAGGCAGGGCATGTGCTTCAGGGAGCCCTCCCCCTGTATTCTTTTCCAAGAAAGAGCAGCAAGAGGGGCTGTAGGACCACCAGCAGCAGTGATGTAGCGAGATAGGTTCAACACAAACTCTTTAGCCACAGCAGTACCCAGCCTTTGGTAACATGCTGTGACATTACCTACAAGGTGCTTTGAAGATACAATTGATGGCATCTATCCTGACCTAAGCGGACGCAGGTGGCACTGTGGTCTAAACCACAGAGCCTAGGACCTGCCGATCAGAAGGTTGGCGGTTCGAAGTCCCGCAACGGGGTGAGCTCCTGTCGCTAGGTCCCTGCTCCTGCCAACCTAGCAGTTCGAAAGCATGTCAAAGTGCAAGTAGATAAATAGGTACCACTCCGGTGGGAAGGTAAATGGCGTTTCCTTGTGCTGCTCTGGTTTGCCAGAAGCGGCTTAGTCATGCTGGCCACATGACCCGGAAGCTGTATGCCGGCTCCCTCGGCCAGTAAAGCGAGATGAGCGCCACAACACCCAGGGTCATCTGCAACTGGACCTAATGGTCAGGGGTCCCTTTACCTTATCCTGACCTAAGAACCCACATTTAGTGCAGTACCTATAGCAGGGGGGGGGTCCAGACAATAGGGTCCTATTTGATCAATGGGCATCAGTTTTGGGGGCCTGATGATTTTGACAAAGGTGCTTGGACAGGTTTCGCTGACTGGTTGTGTGCTGGGGCCTTGCTTGTCTTGGCCTATTCCATTAAAGAGGGATGAGATGTCTGGGTCTAAGGAACTGTTAACTCCTCATTGTGAGAGCAAATCATAGCAGCCAACTCCTAGGGGCCAAGATCCCTTTGCCCCCCCCCCAAACAATAATAATAATTGAGGGGACCACCCTCAGATGAATCTGCTGCTCAGTTCTGCATTAGCAGGAGTTTCCAAACACTTGTCAAAAGCAGTCCCACATACACAATGTGTTGCAGTTCTACAATTCTATGAATCTATTAAGATCTAGTTGAGATTCCTGCATTTCAGGGGATTGGACTAGATGACCCTCAGGGTTCCTTCCAACACTACAATTCTGTGGTTTGGTAATCAGACCAAAAGGTTACCAGACCATAAGATATTACCACTCAGTGGTCTCATGTTAACTCGTGGTGATAAAATTGAACCCTACAAAGTCCCACCCTGTAGATCCTACTGCATTGTTTGGTGCTCCCTGAACACCACTTTCTGGAGTCAATTGTGCAAATAAGACTGGGAACTATTGCAAAGCATTGCTTCCCAGACCCAGCTGAGGGAGCCGCTCCAGAAGGATACTATGCTCAACTGTATAAAAAGATGCTCAGGGTGAGGGATCTAGGAGAATCAACAGGATCACACCCTCCCACCCACCTTTCTCCCAAGGAAGGTCATCATACAAGGTGGAAAAGGCAATCCCGCTGCCCAACTCAGGCTGAAATGGATCCAGAAAATTAGCATTTCCCAAGTGTCTAGTTCTGGTCCCAAAAGGACCACCCTGCCTGACTATAAAAACCACGGCGATATATAAATACCGTTTCAAGACAGCGAAAACGCGTTGCCTTAGGGCCCGCCTTGTGTCTCCCCTCCAGTTGCGGAACAGTAAGAGTTGACACAAGGCTTCTTTAGACTCCGGTGGCGTTGATGAAAGGAGGAAGGTCCCCGAGTATGGAGCATATGCTCTCGGCTCTGAGCTTTCCATCTTCACACGACCACCACCCTTTAAAAATAAAAACCAGGGTGGCCCTCAGAGAGATTCCAAGGGGAAGAAGTACCAGCAGGAATATCCTCTACTTCTCTCCCTTCACCCGCTTTGGTGGTGCTGCCGCCGCCAAAGGCTCAGCGCCTGACTTCTTCCAATACAATACCCAGCCGCTGCACAGCAACTTCTCCCTTCGGCTGTGTTTGGCTAACGGGCTGGCTGCAAACAGCAACCTTTTCCCATCTTCTCCTTCGCGGTGGTGTGACTAAATCTCCACTCCAACCCCGATTCCGCCCCCGCCTCCTCTCTCCCCCTCCCCCGGCGCAACCCACCCCCTTTCCAGGTCTCTGGAGTTTTCAGCACGTGAACCTCTTCACTGCCTTATGTTTCACAGAGAGCGAAAGAGAGACCCTGCAGTGCAAAGCGAGAACAAGGGCAGCAATCCTTGCAGCTACTCGGAAAGAGGGAGGGAGGGAGAGAGGGAGACTCACCGGCTCCCACCCCACCCCCCTGCGCCGCATCAGCCCTGAGGGGATCCCTCCCCCTCTTCTCCGACACGCGAGCACCACCGTAAGCGCCCAGTGCAGCCGCCTGCCGCCGAGAAGACTCGCTCCTGGCTGGATCCTTCTCTCCGCCACCGCCCCCACCAGTCATCCCGCCGCGCACCCAGCGCCTGCCCGTCCGCCAGGACAGCCGAGTGTTTCCAGAAGCCGCCCGGCTCGGGAAGAAGGAAAGTGGAAGAGTTCGGGACTCTCCCGCGTCCGCGCACCCCTTTCTTTCCTTCCCCAACACCACCACCCCCTCCGTCGTCCCGCTGCTGCTTCGGGAGGAAAGCGATGCTGAAAGGGGAGAAAGAAGGAAAGCAGCGGCAGAAAGACCGGGAGCTTTGGCATAAATAAACAAGAATAGTAATAGAAGGATCGCCGGCTGCGTGGAGGGGGGGCAACCCCATCACGCCCTGCAGCGCTTCTCCGGAGACAGAAGAAGGAGCGCAGAAATAAGAACGGAGAGTTTGGCGCAGGTCGGTGGTCCCCGCTCCGGGGGCGCCTCTCCCACAGCATCCCGCCGCCGGTCTCCGCCTTTCCCCGCGGGAGGTCGGTCAGTGGCCTCTTCTCCTCCTCCTCTCCGCGCAGGAGCCAGGCGGGAAGAAGCGGGGCCTCGCCGCCTCCGAGGCAGCCGGGCGACCGTCCTGCGATCTCCCCCAAGGTGTCGGCGCCAAGGCGGGCGGTCCCGTCGGCTCCTCCGCTCCAGGTGCGCAGCGCCGAGCTCCCGTGTGCCAGGAAGCCCGGCGTCCCTCCGTGCGCCCTGCCGCCCGCTCCATGGCGAGGGAAGCGCAGGCTGAATCTCTCCGCAGGAGGAGGAGGAGGCGCCGGCAAGAGCAGCCTCGGCGGCGGCTCCGCGATGCCCCGCTGCCGCTGCCACTGCTGTGAGGGCTGCAGCGGCGGCGGCGGCGGGGGCTCCCCGGGCGCCGAGGCGGAGGGCGGCCGCGGCCGGGGCGCCAGCATGAAGTCGCTGCTGCTGAGCCGCTTCTTGGTGCTGCTGCCCTGGATGCTGTTGGTGATCGTCATGCTGGACACGGGCGGCAGCCACCGGGCGCCCCGTCCGCCGCCCGCCTCCTCGCGGCAGCCCCTGTCCCAGCCGCAGCATCCGGGGGCGCCGCGGCGCCGGGAGGCCGAGCTGCCCGTCATCTACACCATCACGCCGACCTACAGCCGCCCGGTGCAGAAAGCCGAGCTGACGCGCCTGGCCAACACGTTCCGCCAGGTGGCGCGCCTGCACTGGGTCCTGGTGGAAGACTCCGCCGTGGGCACCGAGCTGGTCAGCCGCTTCGTGGCGGGGCTCCTGCGCAGCGGGGGCCCGCCCTGCACCCACCTGCACGCCCTCACGCCCAGGAGGTTCAAGCGGCCCGGGCAACCCCGAGCCACCGAGCAGCGCAACGCCGGCCTGGCTTGGGTCCGCCAGAGGCACCAGCGCCTGCCTGCCCCGCAGCCGGGCGTCGTGTTCTTCGCCGACGACGACAACACCTACAGTCTGGAGCTCTTCCAGGAGGTAGTGGGCGCGCGGGAGTCCGGCCAGCCTAGCGGGGAGGGAAGGAGGGAGGAAGACGCGCGGAGACGCCGGGCCTCCTTTCGCGCGCGCGCGCTTGGGCGCCGAGTTTTCCAGCAAAAGTGGCGCGCGGCAGAGCCGCGGGCTCTCTCTCTCTCTCTCTCTCTCTCTCTCTCTTTTAAGTGCTTCTTGAACAAAGCAGACCTACTTCAGTTCTGCGTCCCCTGGAGTTGGGGGGCTCGAACCCTTTTACAAGTGTATACAGGGACAGGGTTGTAGCCTCAGGTAGGCCCGTTTCTACGCGCGCGTGTTTTGCTTTAAAGTCAGCTCCGCTTTGTCCGGCGAGGCGCAACTTTGCAAGTCAGTCAGCGTGCCTCGCCATAAAGGCTCTTCTTGAGCGTCTCTCTCCCCCCTCCAACAGTCCCCCCCCCAGTCTGCAGCGTCGCCGGCGGCCCAGTGTTGCCCTTCCCTAACCATGGACTTGGGGTTATTCCTACCAGGTTCAGCTAATCACGCCTCGGTGACCAGGCGGCAGGCCAAGCCCTGCAGGTAGCGGGCACCATAGCTCCTCCTCCGACTCACCTCCTTCCCCGTTTGGTTTTCCCTTCAGCTTCCACGCCTGCCTTGCTTAAGAAAAACAGCCCGGCCTGGATGGGGAGCCTCTCCTGCTGCCCCTTCACATAACGTGGTTCGAGGGCTTTCTCCACCCTCGACTTTTTTCCAGGCTTGCAGTATCCTGGGGTCCATCATGTTTTGCTGTAGGTTCGCCACCGTGTGTGAGCCAAATGTTTTTCTGTTTTTAAGCAGGATCTCATTTGAACCAGAACTTAAAACCATTGTTTGTAGTGCCAGCACTGGGGCCTGTGGATTTTTTAGGTCTGGACTTCCCCCTTCAAACTTTTTTTATTGCTAATCATTATTTGTGTACACCACCCAGAGAATGTTTTGATTACTAAGAGGCATAGAAATGGAGTGGATAAATTAATAAGGTATATTAAGGGAATGTATTTGAACAGTTGCAGAGTAACTCTCTCAGGTAATGGTGACTAACCTCTCAGTTACTTAGGATTGGGAGGAAGCGTTTCCAGATAAAAGGTCTGACTTCCAGTTATGTTTTTACTTTCTGGCTAGCTGTATGCCTGCACTAAGACCAAAAGCTATGTGTAAAACCTTCCCTAGATTTTATCCAAAAATACCTACTCAGTGACAAGACCTGTTATTCTGTCCACTCACAACTCCAGCAAACTTTTGCAGGTCAAAGGTAATTCCTGCAAGGTACCTCCTGCAACTTTGGCAGTAACACCACGATTTGGGTGTTTTCAAAACAAACTCTCTTGCCTTAGAGCCCCAAAGTAGCTTCCAGAAAGTCCTCACAATAAAATCACATTAACAACTCTTATTGCAGTGCAGTCCTGTGCATGCCTACTCCATAAAGTCCTGGGAAGATTACTCTCCGCAAAGTGCAGCCTTAATAAGGGTCTAAGAGAGCTCTGCTGTCTTTGATTCCTAAGCTGATTCTTTTCCTGCCTTGCTGAGGAACTTTCGTCACACACCACAATCCCTTGCCAATTCCCTTGCTGCAAATTCCTCCGGAATAATCCATCCATTCTCTCATAATTGTTCAGTCTTTAGAGTCTCCTTGTTTCTTTCTTTCAAAAGTGAAAAGCCCATTTATATAGTGACTAAACGCACTGTAACATGTCACTGGTCTATGAGTAATTCCTGCACTTCATTCCGAGGTCTTGGTTGAAGGCAAGCTTTCCTCTCCCTCTCTTTTTAAGTGGTGGCTGCTGGCAGGTGTTTGCAAAAGGGCTGGGAGATAACAGGGGCACGATTTTAAGGGGGAGACATCATGGGGAGTGCAAGTAGGATAGTGATGAATAAGAGTGTAATTTTGGCAAGGGAAAAGGGAGGGGGCTAAGTATGCAGAGGGGATGTAAATTACCATAACTCATTCAGAATGGGAAGCCTTGCCAGCTGCTGTGTGTGTATTACAAGGCACTCAATAAAAGCTCAATAGAATATAACTGCCCCCCCCCCACAATAATGCCCAGGGCAGCTCCACAGAACTCAATGCCATTGACGTCCCCCACCCCCGCTGCACCCCTTTGCTGACCCAAGATGGGGGCCAAACATGCTTGTGTGTTGCAATATACTGGTGATTCCTCTCTCTTTGCAAGTAGGCTAGGTGCATTAGGAATCAATAGATTAAAGCCAAGGCACTGCGGAAAGATTCAGAGCACATCGAGTCCCCGAAGAGAGAACCGTTTCAGAAAGGCTGCTCAACCCTGCTGACGTGTGTTTAGATTTCAAAATGTGTTTGGGTCTCTTTCAATATACTGCTGGCAGGTGTTCCGCCTGTTCCCCACCAGCACTTCCCATCCAGCAGAATAGCTGTGCTTCCTTTCCTTGTGTGGCGGCCTTTAGCTGCATTGAAATCCTTTATTGAAAGTGTCTAAAAAGGAGATTATTATTTTTTTAGTTCTGTTGCTTTGGTTTATTTCCCACTAAATTGTGGGGGACCTCGCATAGCTCTTTAATGCTGAGAAAGTTCGGGCTTTCGTCTTCTTGGCGTGTAATTATTTCAACTGCGCTTTCCCTTTGAACTGAAAGCTCGTGGAGCTTTTTTTACTTTGGGGGGCGGTGTTGTCTGAAATCCTGTCCCGTTGCCTGAAGCAGTGCTGAGGCAAAAAAGGCTGTTGAGAGACAGACCTCCATTCTCTTTAAAGCCTAAATGGCTCTTGTAAATGAAAGCACTAATTACGCAGGAGAGGGAGGAATTAACTGTAGCAAGAACCGGCACAGAGTCACAATGTTCCAGTTGAGGTCGCTGCTGTGTAACCCTCTGGTGAAGAGATGCACCCACACTGCATTCAGTATTTTACTTATTAGTCATCTCCCTCTACCTCCCCCAATTTAACTGGCTTTTATTAAAATCAAGGTACTAATGAGATCCTCTCCAGCAATGCTGCTTGTCAGTTAAATTGCAAGGCTAAATGCGAGAAGATAAAATAAGGCAATTGATGTTGAGATGCTTCTCTTCTGACAAGATGGCTAAATTCTTTATGTGTATGGGCACACAAACACACACACACACACATCTTCAGTGCAACAAGGGAGAGGTTTGCTCTGAACAAGCTCCTATTCATCTTAAAATGCATGCACTGAGAAGCTCCGCATAGTCACATTACAAGGAAGGAGGAGACAGACAGAGAGAATGTTTGTGAGACTACTATTCATCTCTCCTCTATCACTGATAGAGATAATCCCTTTCTGAGAAGGGAATGAATTTGTCACATTGTTAGGTGTAGGAAAACAGATAATCTTTTTTTATGTTGTTCTTATATCTTTTAATTTTTTTAAAAATCTGTAGATTTCTTTGAGAAGGTGAAGCACATTTTGCATCCCTGGTAGGAGGAAGTTGAGAGATAGCCTTTTGTTTTCACATCAACCATTGATCAGAATTTGTATTGGCTACAGAAAATGATTTCCTTTTCAGTGTTCCATTCACTCCTTTCTCTCTTTCTGCCAGATCTTACAAAAGCTGTACAGTACTGGTTTTCCCTTTGGTGTGAAAAGTCCAAGCTTGTGATATGTAAGAGAAATCCAGACATACTTTCTTTCATGGAACTGGATTAATGGCAGATGAGAGGAAATTGATGCCTAATGTGTCCTGTGCCCCTCCCTCCGGCCGCCTCCCATTAGCAAATCTGGCTGCTGATTCTCTGAGCCAAAAGGAGCTCTGATTTAAGAACCATTTCAAAAGTGGAGGTTTTGTGGTTATAACACCAGTAGGAGATGTCTAAAAGAAAATGTTGCACCCCAGTCCTGCCCTTTCTTCGTAGCCGTGCATGAAAAATGCTACAGTTGTCAAACTGAATAAGATTAACTTCTTGCCAAGCAAACCTACTTTGTATGCTAAATTTTGCGTAAAACTAATTAGATTTCGAGTATTGCGCATTGCAAGTTTGTGCAAGTCTTATCACATGTTTTGAGTCCAGTATATTTACAGCGTTGCAGCCCACATTTTCATAAGTTTACTGCAGAGCTACAAGTTTTGTGCACTGGAATCTTGTGCAAATCGATACCTTTGCATAGTCCACTTCCATTTGCACAATGCGTTCCTTAACATGTACAGTTTTGTATATTTTAGTGTATTGTATAATTTCTTCCATGTGTCCCAAGTCCTGATTTTCAAAATTTTGTCTACAGTCATGAGTGCTGGAAACGTTGTGTGTGGTTGAGAACAGCAATATTCAGAAAGCCAAGTTCTCTTCAGGGCAGGGTTCAGGCTGCATGCTGGACACCAAGCAATGGGTGAAGACAGACATAAATTTGGAAGCCACCTTTTGTTTTCTATCCATTTTGATTTCAATATTAATTTAAAGACTTGAATAAAGAAGACAAAGTGGCAAACAAATGTTACAGTAGATAAAAATGCTGGACACCTGATGGTGGGGAGCCAAAAATAAAGGGGCCAAGCTTATTGAAGTTTGTGAGCAGGCTGTACGTATCTTAGTTAAGAATCAAAGCTAGCCGGGAGCAGAGTTTGCTCCCATAACTGAATATCTCACACCTGCTGTTCAGTTTAAGGTATATCTCCTTCCACATGAACCAACAGCCCTAAATTTTACGTGAGATTCCTCCAATATCGTGAGTTTAAATGGGCAATGGAGATGCATTACAACTGACACGCAACAGTGTTGTTTGTCAGAATACATTCCTGAATGTAAACAGATTATGATCCTGGTCAGATTGTCACATTATTCCTGAAGCAACATGCAAGCTGTTAAATGCTGGTGAAATGGAAGTAGGAAGCTCAAGCCTGAGAAAAATTGGGCTCATGAAAAGAGGGGCCTGTCCCTCCCCTTGGTTTCTTCCCACCAGAACCACTGTGGCTAAAGTGCCTGCTGTTAAAAAGAGCTGAAATCAAATCTGCTAATTTTTTTTTTTTGGGGGGGGGAATGCAAATACAGGTGAGGGGTGGAAGGTGCTACAAATTT